AAATAAGGCGTAGGTAACTCTTCTGGCTGACTGTCCCTGTGTCTACAGACCTCCTCCCTCCCCCATGCTCTTCCAGTTAGCCTGGAAGGCCCTGCCACTCCTCCTCAACTGCTGCCCACTGCATTCCCCATCCCGATCTTCTTCAAGACCCCACACACTTGTCTATCCCCAGTTATGCAACTCTTTACCCAAAGTTAATAATCCTGTCTTTGGTGCTTTCATGGTACTTTGTACATCCTTCACTGGAAATACCACACTACATAATTATTTGTATATATTCCAATATACAAATTAGAATGTGAATCTCTAAGAATAAGAATAGCTTTTTTCCTTTGACTCTTTCTTTTCCCTATTTCTGGCATATATATCAGGGAGGTAAATACTGAGTGACAAGGTACCTTAGGCTTTGTAATGTGTTGTTTCATTTACTCCTTTCCCTTTCTTCCTGATATATTCTATTTCCATCCCCACATTTCAGAGCCTTATTATCTCTGAGCTCTCTCTGGAAATAAATCCCTGATAGCTTCCCCCTGGTCACCTTTCTTCCCAATTTCTTCTTTACCAATGGTGGATTAACTTCCGTAAAACACAGTTCTGAGCTTGGCTCTTCCCAACTTGAAAGTACCCTTGACTCTGTAGTGCTACGAAGTAGTGTACATATTCTTTACTCTAAATTCAAGAGTGTCCATGATCTGGACTTAATGATTTCATCTAAACTTGGTTCATTCCTCTACATCAAACCAAATTATGTTACTTCCTGTTCTATCAAATCACATAAAATCTATGTACCTGATGACTGAAACTAAAATGTAGCCAGCTTATCTTCAAATCAGATTCAATCATCCTTATTAAACCTTCCTTGATTTGATAGATGGGTAAAAACTACAACTCTTCTGAAATCCCACAGCATATGGTTTTACCTCTTTTGTGGGATTTAATCTATTCTGCATAGTTCACAGGATTTAGATACATCTTAGCTCTTTTATAATGTCCTTGACATCCTCAAAGAGCTTCATCTAATTTGAGTGTCTGAATTTGCTTTGGTGCAAGAGCGAATGAACATATAAACGGTAGATCATGCTGGAACCTAACTCTCATGCTTAAAAAAAAAAAAAGTGAATGTGAAGTCAAACGAACTGTTTGAAGATCTTTACAATCTGTCTTAAGACTATAACATAGTCAAAAAACAGTTTTGGAAAAATCTGATCTTAAATGGCCCATGTTTCAAGAAATCAGGCCAATCTAGGATGGAAAAATCATGTAAGTAGGTAGTAATCATCACAGAGTAACATCCAGTGTTAAACACTGGGCTAAGTGCTTATAGGAACCATGGGCATAAATCCCTTGGTTCCTATAAACATCAAAAACAGAGGAAGCTATCCCACATTCTAACCCTTAAGAAGACTGAGGCCTGGAGAAGCTCAGCAGTTCACTTAGTGGTAGTTATCTTGGAATGGCAGGGCCAGGATTCCAACCAAGCTTTAAAAAAAAAAAAAAAAAAATCTACTAAAAGACTAAAGCTCCCTCTCAAGGAGTTACAATGGATTTTCATCATTTAAAAGAGCTCCAAGGCGCCTGAGTGATTCAGTTAAGTGTCCAACTCTGGATTTCGGCTCAGGTCATGATCTCTGGTCGTGGGATTGAGCCCTGCATGGGGCTCCCCCACTCAGCGCTAAATCGGCTTGAGATTCTTTCTCCCTCTGCTCCTCCACCAAGTGGTGCATGTGTGCATACAAGCTTTCACTCTAAAAAAATAAATACAATCTTTAAAAATAAATTAAAAAAAATAAAATAGCTTCATCTAGGAGCATATCTCAACACTATACTTCTGAATCTATACTGCATGAATAAGGACAGGGTCCCTTTCCTAGTGACCTAATTCAGCCAAATGAAGCTATTCTGTGACTTGGTAGGAAAACCAGCGAGAACACTAAATTCTTGTGCTTGTGCCTGTACCTTTATCACAGAACAGGAAGCACTGTCTGAAAGTATAAATACTAAATTGCACTTTTAAACCAAGTAACAGGGGCGCCTGAGTGGTTCAGTCCATGAAGCATCTGCCTTGAGCTCAGGTCATGATCCCAGCCAGGTTCCTGGGATCAAGCCCTATGTAGGGCTCCCTGCCCAGTGGGGAATTGGCTGCTCTCCGCCCCTCAACCCTTCTCCCTACTTATGCTCACTTGCTCTCTGTCACTCCCTCTCAAATAAATAAATGAATAAAATCTTTAAAATAAAATAAACCAAGTAACAATTTTAGGGAGTCCTTCAGCAGAAGTCCTTCAGTCCTTCAGCAGAAGTCCTTCAGTCCTTCAGTCTTATGAAGAAACTCACCACTAGGTGGCAGAAGTATAAAGTCAACCAGGTGATTTTTCTACAGTGCTTAAAACAGCGGGACACTTTCCCATCCTTTTTCCACAGCAATAGAAAATCCTGTTAAACTGTTAAGTTTTTTCAAAGATGATTTTGTCGCTTTGAGAGTGACATGTTATACATAAATGGCTCTACATTTAAAAATTATTCTCCCTTATTGAAAACTGTTTTGTAATATTTTAAATACAATATACAGAGATCTCAACCTTTTTTATATTCAACACTAACCACAACTTCAACTAGCTTTAAACATACAAGTAGAGGGCAGCCCCGGTGGCTCAGGGGTTTAGCACCCGCCTTCGGCCCAGGGTGTGATCCTGGAGTCCCGGGATTAAATCCCATGTCGGGCTCCCTGAATGGAGCCTGCTCCTCCCTCAAAAAAAAAACATACAAGTAGAACCATACCACCAATGAATTAAATAAAAAAAAAAAAAACACACTGTACATTAAAACATATTGACACTGAAATTAATTTTTTGTAATGCTATATAGGATAGACAAAAACTGCTTTTAAATCATAAAGGTTGTAGTTCCTGCACTTTGTAAGGTTTTTTTGTTTGTCTTATTTGTTTCATTATGTTTGGATTTAGTTCTAAATGTCAAAGTAAAAGGAGGCTTCAGGTTATATTTTACAAACACTTGTCTTTAAGTAACACTGAAGATTACCAATATGTAAAATGCAAGTTGGGCAAAAACATCATATATTTCTTTATGACATTTACTTTAAAAGCACAAGAGGAAGCTTGATATGCTTGATAAGAATCTGGAGGAAATAAACGCAACTTAAAAATGTGATAAACATCTTGAGGCAAATTTGTAGAATCATCTATACACATGTGTGCATTCTTGATGAACTGAGCCCTGCTTTCTATCTTTGGTAATCCCTTATGGGTAGAAATTAAATTATATACTATTAAATTATGTATAACTATATATAATTATATTATACTTAGTAAATATATGGATATAACTAAATAATGATCAAAACAGTTCCAAAAAGTTGGACATTATCTCTTGCATAATGTTCACTTAATAAGCACTCAGGAAGAAAACATTTTAATGGTGATTTTTTACTAATCTTATTAAACAAAAAAATAAAATCCCCACATTTCATATAAAGAACCCTCTAGACATATCCAAATCTTTGGAGCAGAGGGCTGGGGGTGAGGGGGGAGTTGTGGTTCTAAATCATCAGTGGGGCAGGTTGGGTGTCTGGTAGAAGGAATTATGCTTTATCTTATCATCCAGGGAAGGAGTGAAGCCCAGACTGGTTCAGGCTTTGGCCAATCTTACACAGAGCAAAACTAACAGAATTGGAACTCCTTCCCAATGCTGGCAACGGGTCCAGTGTCCTTACAACTGTTCCACAGGGCTTCTTTGGAAATATGCAAACGAGCTAATAGTCATCAATACACAAGACCTCTAGAAGACACGCTAGCCCTGAGGTCTCCATACAAACTTACATCCACAAAAAGTGAGGCAGCCTCACTCCTCTGGCTGCTCAGGGACACTTCAGGCTAATTTAGGTCTCCTGAACGTGATCTGCAACAGGCTTTCTACTTTTGAAGATTCTCTAAAAATCAAAGGTCAAAACAGACAGTCCAGAAGCTATCCTGGCTTCCACGTTCACAAAGGCTGCTGTGTAATTGTTCATCTACAGACATTAAGACAAAACTGAGGTCATCTCCAGGGATCAGTGGGAAGGAACAGTTGCTCGGGGATCATTTTCTATGGCAGGCACCCATTTATACCTGTAAAATATTCTAGAAATGTACGTGAAGAATAAACTACAATATACACACATGGATGCATTTCCTCGTCTTTCAGCTCTGTCGTGTACTGAATGCATTCATAAATAAGTGAAAATCATACAGGAAGGTAAAGCTGTCTGGATGCTTGACAGGATATGAAAAGAACATGGCTCCTGCAGCCTTGACAGTTATTAGTTGACTTGATTCATGAGACGCTTATGTCCTACCAAAAATAAGTACAATAACCATCATAAAAATCTCTTTGAATCATCATCACTCAGGGGTTGACAGGTATCAAACTGCCTGTTCCTAATTCAGTCCCAGGAAATAAAAAATCCAGAACACATAATGGCATCTTTGACACAAAGAACTGCATTTACATGTAGTCTGTCGGAAAGGACACTGAAACGACTTAAACCGTGGAGAGGAAATCTATGGGCGATAAAAGAGTCTCAAAAACCAAAATTTTGAGGGCCTCTATCAGCTGCAGAGCACGGGAGAGAGCTCTCCACTCCACTCCAAGCTCCCCGCCCAGAATGTGGCGAGCGCTTGGCCCACGATGCATACGTCTTGAACGGATGGTGAGGCGAGTGCAGCGCGAGGAATTTCATGTGGGAGCGATTCGTTTCAGGGAGATAAGGATGACAGCAACCCGACAGGAATCCTCGTGCTGGCGGTCGGATCAGCACAGGGCGGCTGCCTCTGTGGCAGCGAAGGAAAGAGGGTCAAGGCCGGGAGGACACCCCCCCTGCCCCCCCCCCCCCCCGCACGGCGGCCTCCAGGAGCCAGCAAAGGCGGTGCCGTGGCCGGTGCCTCTGTGGCCGGTGCCTCTTCCGCAGCGGGTCACCCACGAGGGGTCCCCGCCCGCCGAGCCCTTACCTCCTCCCTCCTTTCTTCTGGACCCAACGCCGGGTGGGGGCGCTGCTGAGCGCGGCTGCCGGCGCTGTGCTCCCCGCCTCCGACGCACGAGGCGTGCCGGGAATCCGGGGACGGCGCAGGCCCCTCCGCCCTTTCTCCGCCGTCCCCCGAACTCAGGGACGGCGCGCTGAGGCTGCTGGGCCGCGCGGCGTCTCCGGCGCCCGGGCTCTGAGGGCCGGGGGGCTTGGGCGCGGTCGGCCGCAGGGGCGTGAGCGGCTGCTCGGGATCCAGGGCAAAGCGGCTGCCCGCCGCGCGGTGCTCCGCGTCCCGGGGAAGCGGACTAGGCGAGCCGCCCTCTGCCGGCCCGGAGCCCGCGGCCTCCGGGGGAGACCCCGCGGGGCCCGCATCCCCCCGCGCGCCGGGGGCGCCCCCTGCGGCCGGGCCGCAGCCGGGGGCGGCGCGCGCACCTGCGCACCTTCTCCAGTCGCGCTCGGCGCCGGTGGACGCGCGGCGCGAGTAGGCGTCGTGGAGCCGGCTGTGCACCTGCAGCCGCCGGCTCGCGTCCCCCGGCCCCGCGGCCCGCCCGGCGCCCCGCGCGGGGGCTCTCTCGGCTCCGGGCCGCGTCCGCCGCGCTGCTCACCAGCCTCAGGACTCGGTCCCAGTCCCGGGCCCGCAGCGGGCTCCTCCAGCGCTTGGTCCTGCCCTCGGGCCCGCCCAACTTCCCCGTGTCCGCGGAGGAGCTGCTCAGCGTCCGCCGCGGCCCGGGCTTCCCCGGCGCCGCCCCGAGGTCCGCGAGGTGGGACGCGGACTTCCTTTTGAAGGAGCCCTTCTGCAGAAAGTCCAGGCTGTCCGTGCTCTTGCTCTTCCCGTAGACGCCGCTGTTGTCCGCGGAGCCCTTCACCAGGACCTCGCGCGCGGCGGGCTCCGCCTGCGGCCCCGGGCGCCTGTCGCAGTCCAGGAGGCTGAGGCGGCCCAGGCCGTAGGCGCGGCGGATGCTGCGGGACCGGTGCGTGCTCCTCTGGAAGGCGTCGTCGGCCTCCTCGGGGTCGGAACAGTCGGACGCGGCCCCCGGGCCCACGGGGGCGCACCTGCCGGCTTGCATTGCCACCGCGGCCCCATTGGGGATGGGCCTCCCTGGGGCCCGTTCGGGGGCATCTTCCCTCGCCGCCTCTGACCCCTCGCGGTTCTGAATTCCTTGAAGGACGGAGGACTTCAGTTTTTTGAAAGATCCCATTTTCCGAAAGGAGGCAAGAGCGTTCCAGGTGGAGGAGTTTCCCATCAGGACCATGGAGCGGGGCCTCTCGGGGTTGGTGCCGCTCCTCTTCCTGCTCACGGAGAAGAGGCGCATGAGCTTGGCGGGGCTGAGCCTGGCCTCCTGGGCTTCCGCCTCCCCGCAGTGGCTGCTGCTGCATCCTCCATTCGGACAGGCTGGGTAGGTCACCGTCCTGGGGTCTCTGGGATCAGAGACAGAACCTGGGATTGCGGCGAGTTGCCCAAGGCCGTTCTGAGCTGTGGTCATGTTCCCGGGGCCGCGAGCCCGTGGCCACAGGGCAGCTGGGTTCAAGCCCACATGCACATCGGTGTCCACAGGCCCCAGGCGCAGACCTGCATTTCCGAGGCTGCTGACAGCCTGGCTCTCGCCCCTGCGGTGCACATCAGGCTCCTCAGCTGTGTCCGCCGCCTGCAGCAGAAAACAAGGCAGGGATTTAGTCATTCTTCTCCCCACACAGGAACCTCCATAAACACTGCTTGTTATATCGTTTAATGATTCCTAATATTTAGAAAAGCATGCTTTATGACCGGGCTCATCAGTTTATTTTAAATTAGAAGTCTTACCCTTCTTAATTCATTACACAGTGAATTAAAAGAGAATGTAAATATACATTCCTTTAAAAAATGAAAAAAGAGAATTATGGGTCATGCATCCAATGTAAAGATAAATTCTCGAATCCACTGAAACTTGTTTAAATAAAACTTTTGAAAAACTGCTGGAATACAAAGGTCAATGCATCATTCAACACTGGGTCTTCTCTTTTTTTTAAAACAGAAGTAATTATTAATTATCAAATAAAAAACCCACGCCAACACCTATTTCTAAATGCGTCACAGTGAAACACCAACCTTTATTAAATTTAACACAGTTAAGAGGCAGATTGAGTGCTGAGTATTAGGCAAGAACTGGTGCAAGGAGCTGTAGTAGAGACCAAGACGCTCTCAGCTGCCTACTGTCTACAGAATACCTGAAACTCTACTGAGACACAATGTCCTACAGAGACACATGAGTGGGAGGGACAAACTGGGGTTGCATGGAGGCTGGCTTTGTGAAGGAAACAGCATTAGTGAGAGGCCTCTGTCAACAGGATTCCTACTGGCTGGGGAATGAAGAGAGATAAGGATAACACTTAAATATTAGAAATTCAAACACAAAAATTCAACCTAAACAAATGTCGCACCTTCTTCTTGCCACACACCACACACATGTGATCCATGCGCTCTCCCCCAAGTGAAGACGTTGCTCTCCTTATCTTTTGCCCTTCAGGCCAAGACATGCTCAACCTGTGTGCACCAGCTTAAATGTCCCAGTCACCCTGTTCTCAACTAATGATTAGTTAATGAAGGAAGGTAGGAAGGATTGTGATAATAACCATAAATGACTACCACTCACTACGTGTTTACCACATGCCAGGCCCCTGTGCTAAGTGCTTTAAAAACAGCATGTCACTGAGTACTCATACACACCTGCAAGGCCAATGATTTTCATTTTACAGATAATCAAATGGACACTTAGGCAGAGGGTGCTAGGGGTTCCTGCAGCTGTCCCTTCCAAAGCTGATACTCTTCTCTACTACTTCTAATGAACTAAACTAATGAACAAAAAGAGAGGCAGAGCTGGGATATGAAATCCAGATGTGTGACACCAAGTTCAGTGCCTCATGACATAACCCAACTCATGTCAAATCCCAGAAGTCCTTATGCCAGTCAAGGCCACTATTCCAAAGGCAGTATTAAAGGCAGAAGAGGAGGGACACCTGGGTAGCTCAGCAGTTGAGCATCTGCCTTCGGCTCAGGGTGTAATCTTGGAGTCCTGGGACCGAGTCCTTACCATCAGGCTCCTTGCGTGGAGCCTGCTTCTCCCTCTGCCTGTGTCTCTGCCTCTCTCTCTCTCTCTCTCTCTCTCTCTGTCTCTCATGAATAAATAAAATCTTTTTTAAATAAATAAAGTAGAAGAGGAAAAGGTTGTATAAAAACCTTAAGGTTAGGTCCCAATTTAGCTTAGTCCTCTCAAGGGCAGAAGAAAATGTGACCTCATACTAAGAGGTGTCATCTAATTCTACGCTCCAGGTTCTGTGAAGGGTTCATTTTTATTTGCCCCTACATTATGCCCCCTGAGATTCCCAGGGAGTCACAGCTAAAGGGCTGATTCCATCTGGGACCAGAGAGGCTATATAGACTTAGACCCCTGGAGCCTTTCTGATGTCCACTTACCCAATTCCATCACTCAGAAGCCCAGTGGGGCTACCAAATGCCCTCTGGCAGCTTAATGTTCTCATGGAGAAATTAAGGAACCTGAAGAGCTGTGGATTGCTTTTGAATGAGCCATAGCAGCAGAAACTTGACTCATCCTGGCACTAAGGCTGGGTGTAAATCTATAACCAGTTGTAAAATGAGTCTAATACTGAGTACCCCCCTGTCTACTCTCACCTACTCTGGAGGAACAGGGGGCTGTGGTTGCTTCAGCTTCTCACAATCTTGAAAGGCAGCATATGGTCTATGCAAACATCAAGTCCAGTCACAGACACTGACTAATGGCATACTATGTAACAATAATGGCCTTGTTATGACTTGCACTGGATACAGAGGAGCAGATAGGAACCCTTTTCTTACAGTCTGGCTGGACGGAGACAATTTACAGACACCACAAGTAGAGGGCGCTATGAGACCTTTCATAACCAAAGATGAAAGTGTCCGGCGGTCCCTGAGGTCTCAAGGGGTGCAAGCAGCGCTCAATTTTTTTTTTTTTTTAAGATTTTACTTACTTATATGACAGAGAAAGAGCACAAGCAGGGGCATGGGCAGGCAGAGGGAGAGGGAGAAGCAGGCTTCCTGCAGAGCAGGGAGCCCCATACAGGGCTCCATCCCAGGACCCCAGGATCATGACCCCAGCCAAAGGCAGATGCTTAACCCATGGAGCCAGCCAGGTGCTCCGGGCAGTACTCGATTTTAATGTTGGCCAGTTTGAATGTTCTGTGACTGGCACTGAGGCAGGCCTAGGTTTTAAACTCAGTACTATCATGTGAATCTTGAGTAAAGCCATTTCAGTCATCTGTGCTCCGGTGCCACCTACAAAAGAACATTTATGTATAAGGTATATCAATCAACCAATTAATTCATAGGCCCCGTGGTAAACTCAAGACAGTGACAAGGTGATAACCTGTTCTAGATGGGAACTTGGCAATGAGCAAAGGAAGATCCAGGAACCTAAATTAGATTGGGAGGCAATAAACTTGGGTGACCAGCTGTCCCTGTTGGCCCTGTGTGAGGGATTTTCTAGGACATGGGAGGGACTCTCAGGGCTGAAACCAGAGAAGGTCTTGGCAGACTGGAATGACTGGTCACCCTATAGTGAGTAGAACAATATAGTTGGAAGGATGGCTCAGTGTCCTGTGGTAGTCAAAAAGGAGTAGTACATCCCTTTAGTCTAACACTCTGAGATTGTCCCCAAGTGTCATCATCTTTGGGAATTCCTTCCTGATCCTCCTGAGATTAATGAGACCCCTTAACTCTGCAGGTTACAGGCAACTCACCACACTGCTTTACCAAGACATGTTTATAATGATACGTTTACATGTTTCCTTCAGAACAAGACTGAGAGTGGAAATAATATATATGTAAATTATTTATCTTGATGTAAAACTGTTTCAATATCTGTATCAATGTAACAATTCATCATATATCACCATATTTTTCCAATGTTAAGATGTTTAAATTTTTACAACACTAAAAAGTTAAGTATTTTCTATAATTTAAATTTTAAGATACAGATCCAGTAAAATACACACAGATGTGAGTTTCTGATTGAGGCAACATGCTTTTTAAAAGTCCAGTAACTTACTATTTCAACATGCTGCTGAACAACGTGATTGTTGTGTGCTGCTTGGAACGAAACTGAAAATCACGGAAAAAGGCTTTTCCTGGAATTTCCGAGAAACATACCAAGTAGCATTATTTAGAACTAATACTTTGACCTCTATTAACTAACAAGGGTTGCAATTCAATCAGTGGTTTTGTAGCAAGGCTTGTAAATTGTGGGAGTTCTGCCAGAGAGATTTATGAACAGAACTACAAGGAAGAATTTTAGATGGGAATATTGTGAAATCCATTGTCTACAAGCTGGATTCTCGGGTGTCTGAACTTTAGAATAGAACATTTCTTTTCACTCATAATGAGAATTCTCTGAAAACAACTACGACCAGTAATTTTTAAGTAAGAATTTATAGTAATTGAATTTGAAATTCAGAAATACATACCAGGTTAAATGTACACACAAGGGGGTTTTTGTAGTCTGTTCATGTAAATTAAAGAAAATATGACATTGGAGGAAAACAAACCGGAATACATTGCAAAATACATCAAAATCTGAAAGCATAAATCTCTGAATCACAGCACTGTAGAATATTGCCTGAGGGAACATCTAACCCCTGTTTGTGAAGATTAAGGCATTGAGACCCACCGGGTCTGAGAGATGTGCTCATTGTCAAGCCATTACAGGCGAAAGCACAATGGGGCTGGGAATCAGAGGGACCAGGTTTGGGCCCCTTCATTCTAGACCACTTCCTTTCCTTCTGGATCTCACTGGTCACCAAGTCTAAGAGATTCTACTCCATATCGCGACAATCAGTGCTCAGTATGGCTGCCAAGCCACTGCTTATTTCAAGTCTTTAGTGCCTTTCCACCTGGACACTGCATGAGCCTCCTGAAAAATATCCTGTCTTCCCATCACATCTGACACCTGCAAGCTGGCCAGTGTCCTTCCCAAAAATTGCAAATGGGGTCATGCCACTTCATCCTGGTGTCACTGGCTGCCACCTCTGAACGTGGAGGAGATGTCAGATTTCAGCTTCACACACAAAAATCCTCTCACTCTGGCCATGCTGAATTATTTACAGGGAGGCTTCATCATACTCTGCTGTGCTTTGGGTCATTTCCTCATTTGCTCTCAAGAGACCTTCTCCAGCCATTTTTGTCTCTCTGTATTGCAGGGAAGCACAATTCCCAGGCCCCTCTGACAAAGGGCTTCTGGCCAAGTTGGTCAATAGGAAGCACTGGTGGGAGATGATGCGTGTAGGAGAAGGTAGATGCTAGGGTATTTCTCCCTGTGTGCAATACCTACCACAGGGGTACTTCCAGCAGCTATTCTCTACTCTCTGGCTCCAGCTCCCCCCTCCTAAGTCCTAGTTCCCACCAGGTGGCACCAGGGCAGGACTCATGTAGGACCACCTCTTCCTTTATCCATCCAGCCTACGGGTAGGAGCATCTTCCCACTATTATTGTTCATCTGAGTTCCTCACTTTCATCTCTTCTGTTTCATGGCTGTGTAAACATAACCCCTATTTTAGATTATCTTTGTTTGAAATACCTAGAGATTATTTCTCTCTTCCTGACTGATAAATACGTGTTTTG